GCGACTGTGCCTTGAAATAAACCAGCATGTTTTTGGGGAAATAGCCCTTTTGTAAATGCCAGCTCTGACCAGGGGAAGTTAAAATGTTGCCATATCTGTCCCAGATGATTGCAACATTAAACAATCACTACATTGTTTCTTCCAATTTCCCTGTATTGACTTCCTCCAAGTTTCCAAAAAAAATACTTTTGGATCTCTTCCAAGGAAATCCTTTTCAAGTTTATACAGGCACCTGCTAGTTTCATAGTCTGACAATGCTGATGCTCTGGAATGGCCAGAATTCTTGTATTCACAATCAATTGTTAAGTACAAATGCTTTACTGGAGTTGAAGCACTGTTAGCTGCTTGGGCTTTTTCCAGTACAGTATAGAGTTTACTTTGAACTGGTGTATTTGATCATTAGTTTAGGTTCAGAATTATTGTGGTGCAGGAGCAGGACATTTGACCCATTTAGTTCATGCTAGCTCTGTGGAACAATCCAGCTGGTTAATCCTATTATATTACAGGAGTCCCAAAAATTTACTTCTATCGAGTACACATCCAATTTCCCTTTTTAAGCCATTTAATCGTTTTCACTTCGGTCACTCAAATGTAGCAAGTTCCTGATGGCTAGAATTCATCGTGTAAAAACGGTTTTGATCACATCCCCGCATCCACCAAATATCTTGTGCTCAAGTCTTTAAATCTGTGCCCCATGTTCTTGTTTTAACAGCTAATGGAGGTTTATATTTATCAACCTGTCATAATCCTGCACACCTCTTGTCAAATATGATTTGTTCCAGGAGAACAACTCCAGATTCCCCAGCCTAAACCTGTATCATCCCTCAACCCATTGTTGTAAATCTGAGCAGCTACGCTGATAGTGGCATACTGTTAGTCTGCAAGCTCCAGAGAGGTTCTAGAAATGTGAGGTATTGTAAGCAAGTATACTTTAAACTGGCTACTTGAATCCAAGATAGAATGAAGTTTGGAAGTCTGAAGGATAGATAATTAACATTTCTGCTTGCAAACGAAGCCCATGTGATTCATGTTACCATGGAGCCTTGGACTTTTGAGTGTGGAAGAATCCGCAGGAAGAAATTTTCGGATTAGGTTGTGGGCTTTCCACATGTATCACTTGAACCCTTACAAGCTTAGAAAAGTTAGCAAGAATCTAACAGAGAGCAGTGAGATAGATACAGCAAGTTTCTTTGCAAAATGTGGGTGAGAGCTCTAATGCTCTAATTAAAGAATGCTCTCATTAAAAACTCTAATACTGTAATTAAAGGAACCAAATTTGTGAGAGCTTAACCAAGACTGGAAGATTCACCTAGCTGGGTCAGAGAGAGGAAACTCTTAGGTAACCATCACTATGAAAGTCAGTTTGGTGCTGGGAGTCATCTACCTGAAAAACAACAATGCAAGCCCTGAAAAGTTGAGAACAGCTTTGGACAATGCAATATACACTTAAGGGACTGAATTATGTTTTGCTGGTGATTTTTGGTTCTTTTGAGTTTGAATTGGAAACATTTCTGTATCTTGTGTCCAGTATTGGGATGAATCTGTGCTATCACTTTCTGTTGATGTTCATAAAATTTCCTATGGTATGGAAACAGGCCATTCAGCCCAACAAGTCCATGTCAACTCTCCGAAGAGCATTACACCCAGACTCACCCCTATACCCTATCCTTGTAACTCTGCATCTCCCATGGCTAATCCACCTAACTTACACATCCCTGGACACCATGGGCAATTCAGCATGGCCAATCCACCTAACCAGCACATCTTTGGACTGTGGGAGGAAACAGGAGCACCCGGAGGAAACCCACGCAGACACGGGGAGAACGTGCAAACTCCACACAGACAGTCGCTCGAGGCTGGAATTGAACCCGGGTCCCTTGCACTGTGAGGCAGCAGTGCTAACCACTGACACACCGTTCCACCCCATGTTGATGGAGTAACCCTCCTTCCTAACTGTCTCTTCTGATCCATTGTTCAAGGATGTCTTGAGTACCGCTTTCTTCTCTTGCATTTTCAAACTCAATTTCTGATGGAGACTTACAGATCCTGGTTGAATTCTGACATCTCATCGAAACATAGACAGATTGGTGTTGGAAGGGATTGGGGGTCAGCAATGTGTTTCGGCTGTGGATTGACTTCTTGTCCAATTTGATATGGCTGAGTTAGATTTTTGTTAGACAAAAGCGTCATAGATCATGGGTGATGGGCTAGAAGGCAGAGTTGAGACCACAGTTGGATCAGCTTTAATGCTACTGAATGGCAGAGCAAACCTGACACACTGATTGGCCTTCCCCTGCCAGTAAGTCCTATGATTATTTCTTGATGTGTGGATGCATTTCACTGGTTAGCGTCGGCCTGTGGCCAGGGATGGTTTCTTCCCAGGAAGCAAGATACTTGGACTTATCATAACTAAGATCTACAGAAGTTTTATAACAAAAACAGCTTGCCTTTATATAACATAGAAAACAGACCTGGCCTGACTTGCTGGGTAATTAAACCAGTAGTTACCAACCCACATTTTTCTGAAGAATTCCTTAGATTGTGCTGTTAAAGAACCTGAACAGAGAGCACTTTTTCAGCATAGCAACCCTCTTGGGACTATGCAAAAATGGAACTCGCCTGTTTTTATTTTAAAAGATGTACATAGTGCTCGAAATAGTTTAAGAGGAATGTGTATTTTACTGAAAGAGACTCGCTGTGAGAACACAGTAACAGCAGCACAAGTTTGAGAAGCTCTGATTGCTTTTTGAGTATTTTTGATGGTTATTCAATAGATTGCTTTCTTTTTAACAGGGAGCACAGCTGACTGTGAAATAATTGTGTTTCCCAGTATAATAAAAATATTACTCTGATGCTTAAATTAGTCAAGACAGTGAGTGAGCTGCTGTAAGTGGAAAGACTTGCCTTGTTTTAGACAGTGCATTGAAGTAGGAGTTAGGAGGTTATGTTGTGGCTGTGCAGAACTTTGGTTAGGCCCCTTTTGGAATACTGCATTCAATTGTGGTCTCCCTGCTATAGGAAGGATGTTAAACTTGAAATGATACAGAAAAGATTTACAAGGATGTTGCCAGGGTTGGAGGGTTTGAGCTATAGGGAGAGGCTGAATAGGCTGGGGCTATTTTCCCTGGAGCTTCAGAGGCTGAGGGGTGACCTTATAGAGGTTTATAAAATCATGAGGGTATGAATAGAGTGAATAACTAAGGTCTTTTCCCTAGGGTAGAGAGTCCAAAACTAGAGGGTATAGGTTTAAGGTGAGAGGGGAAAGATTTAAAAGGGATCTAAGGAGGAACTTTTTCAAGCAGAAGGTGGTGTGTGTATGGAATGAGCTGCCAGTGGACGTGATAGAGGCTGGTACAATTACAACATTTAAAAGGCATCTTGATGGGTACACGAATAGAAAGGGTTTAGAGGGATATGGGCCAATTGCTAGCAAATGGGACTAGATTTACTTAGGATATTTGTTGGCATGTGCGAGTTGGGCCGAAGGGTCTGTTTCCATGCTGTACAACTCTGTAATCTATCTTTAAGTTTGAGTTAGCTGATTTCATCCAATGTGGTGGCAGGGAGATAACGTTTGAATACCAAACCAGGGTTCCTGCTCTGATTATACATTCTGTGATATGTATGGACCTCTGGTGAGGACTGAATTAGATGTGATTGTGCTATTTCCTGCGTTAAATATTTTGCAGAATCTCTCAATCACACTTGGCTACTTGAATCATTTGGACGGTACTCAGCCAGGAACTGATGGTTTGCAGTGTGGGTGGGAAAGTTTTGAAGTCAGTGATCGTATGCACTTACTAAGACTTGAAGCTTGTAACATTTTTTATGCAACCTGAAGGATTTATTGAATTTTGTTCTGTGCTCATCAAGATGAGAGATGTTAGAGCTACAGAGTTATGCCCTCTGGTCCTAGACTCTCCCACAAAGGGAAGCAACCATCCCGCAAAAACCCTGTCAAGATCTCTAAGAATCTCATACATTTCAGTAAGCCTCTCATTCTCCTATATTTCAATGGATCTAGGCACAATCTACTCAACCTCTCCTCATGAGACGGCCCTTGCCTATATGGTATCAGCCAAGTGAGCTTGCTGTGGACTGCCTCCAATGACAGTGTACCATTCCTTAGATAAGTGGCCCAAAAACTGTTTGTAGAATTCCAGCTGTGATCTGACTAGTGTCTCATAGTTTTAGCAAAATCTCCCTACTTTTGCACACCATTCCTTTTGAAGTAAGCACCGACATTCCATTTGCCTTCCCTATTACCCATTGTACTTGAACGCTAGCTTTTTGTGACTCATGGCTGAGAACTTTTAAATCCCTCTATTCTGTAGCTTTCTGCAGTCTTTCTCTGTTGAAATAATATTCAGTTCTCTATTCTTGCAATTGGAAAGCAAGCAGACTTTGTTATCAGATTGATAGTCAAAAGGAATCCAATTGGAAAGACTTGTTTCTCCCACAGCTCCAGCATTTTTGTAACCAGTGAATGAAGCCTGTACTCTTTTAATATCCCTATCATGTTATTTCCAGGGTTGGAGTCAGGAATGTTGTGGAATTTCAATTCCTAGAGACTCCTCAACAATGCAGGGTGCAAACAACCTTAAGTCTGTGTCTTTGAGCCTGAGTTGGCTGTCTCAGGGCAGGTGGAGCAGTGATGTAGCTCATTCTTCAAATGTTTCTGTAAACGTCTTCATGGGGGACTTGATTTTGACTGAAACTATTCCACAATGGAAGGCCAATTGTGAATGTGAGTAAATCTTCCTAACTTTTGTATTGAGACTTCATTGCCTTAATATTGTAGCTGCAAGGCTGCCCATTATGAAGCTGTTATCGGTTTTTAAATATTTATTTCTCACCAGGTTGTTGCTGATATGTAGGTAGTTATTTTGTTTGCAGCTTGTTGAAACCTTGGAGTCTAAGCTGGCATGAAAGTGGCATTTAAAGTATGAATGAAAGAGAGATTACTCGCGATTAATGCTTGCTCAACTTTTGTTTCCCAGCAGATGGACTCCCCTGCCTCCACACCAGCCCCTCCACCCCTTCATCTTCTGCCTCCAGTCAATAGTGGAGTTGCGTCCCCCGTGGAGCAGATCATGGTCCGGACCCGCTCAATTGCAGTCAATACCTGCGATGTTGGACTCGCAACAGAGCCTGAATGCCTAGGCCCCTGTGAGCCAGGGACAAGTGTCAATCTCGAAGGGATTGTCTGGCAGGAAACAGAAGATGGTAAGGAAATAACATATATGCATTTTCCTGGCATTTAGAGTTTTTGCTGCATTGAAAGAACCTATCATTTTTATTCTGAGGAAGTGCAGGCAAATGACATTAAGTCATGCCAATTTGGAAAACTGGTGCAGACATCATGGGCCAAATGGCCTTCCTCACCATAACAATTATCTGATTCTGTAATGACTGATCCTGGAACATATGACATATGAACAAGGAACAAGGAACATATGAACAAGGCCCTTTGATCCTACCAATAAGGTCAGGGCTGATATGATTTTAACCTTAACTCTACATTCCTGCATACTCCAGATAATTTTGGTAATCAAGGATCTATCAACCTCTGCCTTGAAAATAATTAAAGATTGCGCAGCCACTGCTTTTTGAAGAAGGGGAATTCCAAACACACCCAGTCCTTAGATTTTTTTTCCCCTCATCTGACTTAAATAGGCATACCCTTATTTTTTTAGCAATGACCAATAGTTGTAGCTTCTCCCACAAGAGGCTTTCCATATCCACACCGACCAGTCCTTTCAGGCTCTTGTGTGTTTCAAGTAAGTCACCTAGGACTCGTCTAAACTCTAGGAGACACAGGCCTAGCCTTTTTTCATAAGGAAGTTGGCTCATTCCAGGTATCAGTCTCCTAAACCTTCTCTCAACTGTTCTCAACATGTTAACATCATTTGGTAAGTACAGTACTGGGTACTGTAAATAATAATCCAGATATGGTCTCACCAATGCCCTGTATAACTGAAGCATAGCCTCCATACTTTTGCATTCATTTTCCCTCACAATAAAAGATGATATTCGATTAGCTTTCCTGATTACTTGCTGTGCCTGCATACAAACCAACTGCAATTTATGCACTAGAACACCCAGATCCCTGCATCTCAGAGCTTTAAAACCTTCTCACCATTTAGATAGTATGCTTCTTTTTTATCCCCTCTGCCAAAATTGACAATTTCGCACTTTCCTACATTATAATCCATTTGCTAGAACTTTGCCACTTACTTAACCTACCTGTATCTCTTTGTAGACTCCTTATCTCCTCTTCACCGCTCACTTTCCTACCTATCTTTGTTTCATCAGCAAATTTCCCTTCATCCAAATCATTTTTATAAATTATAAACTGTTGGGGCCCCAGAACTGACTTCTGTGGCACATCCTGCCGGCCTGAAGAAACCTCCTATTCCTACTCGCTGCTTCCTGTTAGCCAGAAATCTTGTATCTGTTCTAGTATGTTACCACTGGGCCATCGGTAGACTATTAATCTGGAGACCCAGGTAATGATCCGGGGATCTGGGTTTGAATCCTGCTGTGACAGATCATGGAATTTGAATTCAATTTTTAAAACAATGGAATTAAAAGTTTAATGATTACCATAGAACCATTATCAATTGTCAGGTAAAACCCATGTTGGAGAAGGAAACTGTCACCCTTACCTGGTTTGGCCTACACGTGACTCCAGTCCCAAACATTGAGGGTTGATTCTCAGCACCCACTGAGCAATTAGGAATGGGCAATGAATGCTGTCCTAGCCAGCAATGCCGACATCCTGTGAATTAATTTTTAAAAAAGTTTACCCCAACATGAGCTTTTATTTTCTGCAATAATCTTTGCTGTGGCACCTTATCAAATACATTCTGGAAATTGAAGTACAGTACATCTTTTGGTTTACTTCTACCTACTTCTTAAAAGAACTCCAATAAATTAGTAAAATCTTATTCCCCTTTGACAAACCCATCTTGGCTCTTCCTGAATACCTTGAACTTATCCAAGTGTGCTATTATAACATCTTTAATAATAGCATCTTACATTTTCCCTATGACAGATATTAAGCCAACTGGCCTGTAGGTTCCTGATTTCTGCCTCCTTTTTTTGAATAAGAGAGTTAGCTATTTCTAATCTAAAGGAATATTCCCTGAATCCAATGAGTTTAGGAAAATTTAAAACGAGCACATCAACTATCTCACTAACAACTTCTTAGGACAGGGGGATGAAATTGTCAATCTTGCAGTTCCAGTAATTTTCTCAGTACTGCTTCCCATGTAATAGTATTTTTTTTGGGTACCTCTGTCCCTTTCAATTCCTGATTTACAGCTATTTCTAGCATGTAGTGAAAACTGATGTAAAATATCATGCAATTGGTATGCCATCTCTTTACCTTCCATTACTAATCCCCAGCTCATTTTCAATAGGGCCCAGTACTTACTTTGTTAACTCTCTTTTCATTTTTAAATGTCTGAAGAAACTGTTCCTGTCTGAAGAAACTTTTCGTATCTGTTTTGATATTTTTGGTTAACTTTCCCTTATACTCTAACTTTTCTCTCCTTATTAATCTTTAATGCTTTGCTCCTTTTTACATTCTGTCCAGACTCCTGACCTGTCATCTATCTTCATGCAATTGTGTCTTTTGTTTGAGATCTATGACTTTTTTAGTTAATCTCAAAAGGCAAGTCTTCCATTAAAATTTTCCTTATCTATTAAACTGTATCTATTCTGTGCATTTTGGAATATCCCGTTGAATGTTTGCCATTGCGTTTCTATTACCCTTTTTTAAGTTTAAAATAGTCTTGGATCCACACTTCTCTCCCTTAAACTGTGTGTAAAATTCAATCATATTATGATCACCGTTACTCAGGGGTGCTTTCAGTGTAATGTCACCAATTAATCCTATATCATTGATCAAAACCAGGTCTAATATATCTTTTTCTGGTTGGTGCCGTAGAGTGTTGATCAAAGAAATTGTACCAAAAACATTCAATGAATTCCTCATCTAGACTACTTTTCCCCATCTGATTTTCCAATCGATATGTATGTTAAAATCTTCTATAATTGCTGTCATCTTCTGACAAGTTCCCATTATTTCTTCCTGTCCCATCACATGGTTATTGTTCGCATACCTATACACAACTCCCACAAGTGACCTCCTGTCTTTGTCATTTGTCATCTCTGCTCAGACTGCATCTATATCCTGGTTTCCTGAATATAGGTCAACCCTCTCTATTGTGCAAAAAATTATCTTTAATTAAAAGAGCTACTCCTACCCTTTCCTAGCTTCCCTCTTAAAAGTCTCAGACCCTTAAATATTCAGGTCCCAAACTAGGTCATCCTGCAGACATGTCTTAGTAGTGACCACTTAGATTGTACTTATTTATCTCAATTTCCGCTACCAGTTCATCTGTTTTGTTTGGAATAATACATGCGTTCAAGTGATGGTCTGGTGGGGACCACAGCCAAGCAGATTGTGGCTTGCAAATATTTTAAGAAAAATATTTGGAAGTTAACGGTATTGCATCGTTGAAAATTTAGCAGCTTGATATCCAAGCTTGTCTGATCAATATTAAATTGCAGATCCATACACTGCACCCTTTTGGTTGTTATATTTTGGACGTTGCCCATTATTAGAATGGTCATTTGGAATATGGTCTTCAAAAAGCCAGACTATAATGTTTTGGATTTCATAAAATCAGGTAAACTCCTATTTGTATTTCTTGTTCTAAGTCCTTTACCTAAAGATTTTGACATAACCTTCAGTTGAAAAGCAACATAGTTGGGCCATGTTTATAATGTATGTCCTCAACAATGTACATGTAGATATTTTCTAATCGACCTGTTCAGACATGTTATTACACACCTCTGGAGAAGGTGGGACTTGAACCCAGGTTTCCTGGCTCTCCCACTACCACTGTGCCACAAAAAGCGCATGCACATTTTGTAAAGTGAGAAGTTGCAGGAGCACATGAGGGTTGTGCATGTATAAGATATAGGCAGTATTAGTGTGTAGCATTGCAGGCATGTTGTTCAGGTGGAGCTTGAACCTTTCCTTACCAGTTGGTGCAAAGGATAAGCTTTAGTGCAAACCACCTGATGAAAGTAAAAGTTAAAACCTATAGTAGTCAGTGTGTTATTTTTGAATGACGAAGAAAGAGCTTGCAGTCTTTTTTTATAGCCATATAAGTACTTTGTTGAAATGTAGTTACTGTTATGTGGAAAACATGTGTGAAGGAAGATCCCACTAAAAATAAAGTGATAAGAGTTCCAATGAAAGACCATCGTCCTCAAACATTAACTCTGGTTCCTTTGCAGATGTTGCTTGACCTGCTGAGTACTTACAGCAATTTTAGTTTCTATAATCTGTTTTTGTGATGTTAGTTCAGGAAACATATTTTTATGTATCCTTGTACACTCATGACTGTGTGGCCAAGTTCCACCCAACTCCATTTGCAAGTTTGCTGATGACACCACTGTTGTAGGCTAGATCTCCAATAATGACGAGATAGAATACAAGAAAGAGATAGAGTGCTTAGACAACAATCTCCATCAATGTCAGCAAAATGAAGGACTGGTCATTGACTTCAGGAAGCAGAGTGGAGGACATGCCCCTGTCTATATCAATGGTGCTGAGGTGGAGATGGTTGAGAGCTTCAAGTTTCTAGGAGTGACAATCTGTCCTGGTGCACCCATGTCGACGCATGGTCAAGAAATCACAACGTCTCTGCTTCCTCAGGAGGCTAAGGAAATTCGGCATGTCCACAAAGACTTAACAGTTTTTATAGATAGATCATAGAAAGCATCTTATCTGGGTGCATCACAGCATGATATGGCATCTGCTCTTCCCAAGACTGCAAGAAACTACAGAGAGTCATGAACACAGCTCAGTCCATCACACAAACCAGCCTTCCATCCATTTACTCCATCTATATATCCCGCTGCCTTGGGAAAGCAACCAATGTAATGAAAGACACCTCTCACGCCGTTATACTCTCTTCCACCCTCTTCCGTTGGGCAGGGCCCTTTTAAGTCTTTCTTCTCTCAACTTAAGCACATGCCCTCCAGTTCTGGACTCCCCTGCCTTTGGGAAAAGACCTCGGCTATTCACCTTATTTCTGCCCCTCAGCCTCCTAAACTCCAAGGAAAATGTCCCAGCCTAAACAGCCTGTTTTTATAACTTCCAGTCTCGGTAACACTATTCTACATCCTTTTTGCGCCCTTTCCAG